GGTGAAGAATTATAGTGCATCACCTTTTAGTTCGGGCGCCATTTGTAAGGTAAATAGGTTTTTTTTTGAAGCAAGAGACATGAGAAATGTGCAATGCCCTCGCTGGGATTCGAACCTGGACCTCTCTAATATGTGCCGAGTGTGCTACTGTTACACCACGAAGACATGCTGGAAGGAGAGATAAAATACCTTATAATTTTTTAACTGTTTATTTAACTTCAGCATTTCATATACCTAACACTGTAATTTCAACGGTTAAGAAATTTTAAGTATATAACTGTAAATGTATCTGTGTGTCAGAGAGTTGTGCAGTCTCGCTCGTGCTCATGTGCACAGCATATTTCTTGTATATATAGTTGTTTTTGTTTGATACAAAGGTTGTTAATGTGAAGATGGCTAATGATTTTATCAAGAGAAAGTTTCTTTCCAGTACAACAACATACATAGTGACCTAGTACACTACAGTGATTTACGCGATATACAACAAATATACACCTTTCCTCAGATAAATGAACTTATTCATCCGTAAAATAGCGCTGATGATCAGATTACGCTTTCCATTCTTCATCTGCCGAAACCTATCCAAAAATCTGTTGTCATTTCCCGAATTAAATTTTTTGGAATTTTCTCACATGTATAAAAATTTTCATATTTTGGTTAATGACCTGAATTCTAAAATTTATTTACCATAAAAACATTTTTTTCTGTTGTTTTACTTTTATTTTCTATCAACACACAATACCTGCGTTTCTTATTACTTAAGAGATGAGCTCATGAGCTCCCTATCACTATGCATCGGCCTTATTTCACGCCCTTCCCAAATATTCTCAGTTGTGATTTTGTTTTCCTTTCTAGTAATAGCAAATGAAGAAGGACTTACATTCAAAACCTTCGAAACGGATATTTGGGGGATTTTAAACCACCTTATAAGATTTAGCAGAACTTTGTTATTAATGCTATCACATGGAACAGAAGTCAGGAATAGAGCCGATGGATGCTGAAGTAAGTAACCAGAAGAAGGTGGGGCTGCTTGGAAAAATTTTTTCTTTGCCTTTAACAATAGCAAAATGGGCAAAGTAGAGTTCCCCAGTTCAGAAGGTGGACATTTAAAAATATTCCAAAATTTCTAAAGCTTCGAAATCAGAGAGTGAGTTCATTTGAGCAGTAGTTACAAAATTTTATACCGAAAGTTGTACTTTTGATCTTAAAATTATGATACATGATTTTTCTAATCACTATTAGATACATTACGCGTGCTATCTAATACCGAATTTTAAAGCTCTATAGATATAGCTTATGTATAGAAAATCGTATTCTAAAGCGTCAACCAGTGGCCGAGCGAAAGGTCACTCAATACTGGCAGCTCAACATGTGTTCGATTTCAGGAGAACGGGGGGGGGGATGGCTGTATTAGCCTTTTAGTGGAGTTTTCCTCTCGTGTAACGCGAATACGAGCCAGTTTCCCTTAGCAGTCTTCTAAGAAGGCATCCCTTTTCTTAGGCAGTTACCCTAGCGTGCTTTCACATAATTAAATAAATGAAAACAAACCAAATCGTATGCTAAAAAAATTTTATTCATACCTCATGAATGTAATTCATGTATGTCATGTTTTGCGTTTGAGCCTTTATTTCAAGTTTGAAAGATAGAATAAAACCATAATGCATGAAAAATTCCGAAAGATAGGGACTAAGTTTAAAAATAAAAGAGGAATTAATAGCAGAAGGTGAAATGCCTTTAGTCATCCTTACATTGAAAGGAGAGAAATTCTAAAACATTTCTTGTAGGAGACACCTATGATAATAAGACGGTAACCCCGAGAATGAGGAATAACTCCAGAATATTGAATTTCTTTGTGTGAAAGAGATAGCAGAGGAGCATAAATAAATTGCTGCATGAAAACATACTTACGAAGCAGGAAGTGTTTGGTATAAAGACGGAAAGAACGAAAATGTAACAAATATGAGGCACAGAAAAAAATATGAAAAACTCCTGCATGAAATTTATTTTTAGATTTCGAGACCAGAGAGTCTGGGATTGAAAAGAATGACTATAATTTATCTTCGGAGAACTTACTGCTGTCTGCGCTTTTATAAACTAACAAAAATATAATTGTTATTAAGCGAGATTAGAGAGATCAAATAAGCGTTTTAAACACAGAATAATATGCAAATGGGTGTAAAGAAATAACGTAAGACTTTTTCATACGTTTTTCTCATACTTTAAGGAGGGCAGAGCAAGGTTTTAATATATTTAAACAACATTTTTCCTGTAGGGAAATCTGACATCGAATCAAACTAGCTATTGAAAAATATGTTTAAAGTGACAATTACTACGTTTTCCAGATACGCGCATTTATATTTACTAAATTTCATTAAAAATAATTTTTCTTTCCTATCATCGGAGGTTCGAATCCCGCGAATGGAGCTGGCTGCAAGGGCGTTTTTGTGGTTTTCCCCATGTGTAACGGGTATACGAGCCAGTTTCCCTTATAAAGTCCTCCACGAAGGCGTCCCTTTCCTTAGGCAGATAGCCCTAGCGCGCTTTGCCATAATTAAAGAAACCAAACCAAAACAAATCAAACTTTTCCTATCCTCACTAGTATCGGTATAGTGTGTTATCGTTTATAGAAATAATTTATTAATCGAGGGATATCTACCTTACAACATTCGTAATACTAACACAGCCATAAACGGCCTTTGTGACTAAATTAAAATACGAATTTTCTTCTATTAATCAGAAGATTAGGATTGCTACTATGACTTCATTCAACATGAAATTGAACTATTTTTCCGAGTTCGGTTGATTGCTTGACCAGATGCTCTACCTTGCATTTAATGTAAAGGATTGTGTCTTAAATCCTCATATTCGGAAGCTATATGAGCTATTCCTATGACAGAAAGGAACAAGAAACAGCTCCGTGCCATTTCGGCTTTTCATAAAAAAATCTTTTCGCACCATTTCTAACAAAGCACTGTGCGTACTCTACGGAATAACTCCTGTAAAGCTACTGTCCGAAGATTTGAAACAAAACTATTATACAGACAATACTACATTTACAAAATATTACAATATATATGAAGAAGCGTTGAAAACCAAAATATTACAACTTAAAAATCAGGATTCTTTATACGGAATTCCTTGCGATCCTAAAAATTTTGAATTCACAGTTTCCATATTCTCAGCAGCCTGCAACTTCCCTTAACATCAAAATGTACTTTAAAGAGCCTATTGGGTAGGTACTGATATTTATAGTTCAGTATCTACATCAGTAGCGCTATAGATGAATCACAAATAAATGGGAAAGCAGGATCAGTCTTTGTTTCCCTAAAACCAAAAATCTAAAAATACTCTGGAAAGAATGCGTGTGGCCAGAAAATAGTTTTTCAAGAGGACGTTTTATCAATTAAAAAGGCAATAAAATTTGCAATTAATAATAAATGCAATCAGCTCACAATTCAATCACAGTCTAAAGGCCTTAACGAATTTCAAATATCTTTTTCCAATACTACAAGAAACTTTTCATCGCCTCCAAGAAAATAGCCAAATTAAAATTTCACTTGTTTGGGTAAAAATACATGCAGGGAATGAAGGAAAGGAAGACTTCGACTCCCTTGCTAAAGATGCAGCCACTACTCCTGACTCCGAAGAAATGAACTTAAATTGGACTAAATCCTACTTAAGAAAAAGAAGCACACAAGAAAATAAAGCAAATTTGGCGGGAAGAATGGAACTCTGTTCCTCAAGGGCAGGAGAACACACGAACTAATGTGATAAACGGAAAAAGATGTATCAATAACTCCCGTTTAAATCAATTATGGACCTTTCCCCACTTATTGTTACGAGAGAAATATCTCTTCATAAGACAGCTGTGCTTGCGGCGAAAGAGGATCTCCAGAACAATACCACTTCTCATGGCCATTAACACAAGCACATCGCAGCGTTACACCAACTACAAACGAACACGAGTTTCGAGGGCATACTTTAAATAACCTGAAATTTCACCACAAAATCAAAAATATTATAACATATTTTTTCGAATAAGGGCAAGATATTTGTTAGAAATAATTGTTACGAAAATGTCTGTATACAAATTCTTCTAAATAATAGCTGCACGAAAATGTTTTGGTAAGTTTGCACTGAGCTTCTGTAGGATACTTTGTTTGCTCAGTTGCATCACGGGACAATATCTGTATCATCATATAATAAAATCCTGGTGATCAGTATCCTGATTTCTTTCCTGCGTTGCTCCTAATGGCATAGTATAACAAGTCTGCGCAATGTGCTCTCATATCATCCAGTGTTTGTGGTTTTTGGGCGCACACTATGTTCTTGACAGTTTCTCAAAGAAAGAGTTTAGGGGATTTTAAGAGGATCTGAGGATCAAGATTGGTACCCCGTAGCACATCCTCGTCGACCCATCCATATTTGCGGGAAAGTGCGATAGAGAGAATCTTTCATACCAATATAAAAAAGGAGTGATGCTCCCTCCTAGACTAAAAATATTCATGTGCAATATATCTAGATCACTTATGACAGTCCCTTCGAAGATATACGACCTGATCAATACCCTAAGAGATATGCTTTGTTAGATACGTTTTTAACTACCTTCTGCACTTATTATCTGCAACACTTTGTGTACTTATATGCATTGTTTAGGAAGACGCTCTGTTTTAAATTTTAAATACATTATTTTAAGGCACGCTGCAAAAAAGTCGTAACACATGCATCATCTCTCTCTTAGCTTTGGGGTCTTCACGTGCAGTAGTATGTCTGATGTAGAATTTAATGTATAGTTAATTTGCATTTCTTTATATCATTTTGTTTTCAAAAGTATATTTTTCTCATTAAATTATTTTAAGCTGATTATTCTAGACAAGGAAAAAGATTATTAAAAGTTAGTAAAAGCTTGTAGTCTTCATTTAGGAATAAAGAAAATAGTTTAATCAAAAACATCGAATAGACAGCAAAAGTATTTCAAAAAACTGAAATTAATATTTTACCTGAATCTGTGGTGTCGTTGATTCAAATGCACTATACAACATCGGCAAAACATCTGCCTTTATATCGCTTTTTGGAGTTTTCTTCATGATGATGTCTAAATTTTCCAGTAACGTTACAGTAGCCTAAAAAAAGGAATAGAAACAATAAATCAGAAGAAAGTAGTTTTTTTATAATGCACAGTGTACATATAAAAGCTTTACGTGTAATTTATTCCCTTGCAGATAGTGTGTTTTTTCCATGCGCTTCGACAATTGATGATTTGGAATATAACAAAATTTTACTTATCTGATTTTGCTAAATGATGGCGAATCGTGAGGTGGAAGAGAAAAACATTTTGGTTGCGAAACATTGTTTAACAGCCTCCTCACGTATACTAAACAGGGGAGGGAAAAGTTCTATATTTCTGATTTTAGTTGGCCGATCGTAAAAATTTAAATTGAATTTTTCATGTCTGAAAGGAATGAGTTGAATCTCGTATACTTATTATATTTATATACAGCTTTGCTTTAACATTCATGTTTGGACACACAATTGGTCTTTTTTTGAAATGACATGTTTATTTTTTCCCATGATATTTTTCGCCCACGTCTCAATATGAAGTTTGAGGAAAACTACTCTGAAAAGGTTTTTTTAAGTATCACTCAAAATTTTGTTTCATTGTTATTTGGTAATATTTTTTTATGAATTATAGGCTCAGTGGCGCAGTAGCTAGCGCATCGTGCAGCAGCACCACAGATCCGGGGTTAAATTCCCGGGTTGGGCAAGGTCGACTCAGCCTTTCATTCCTTGATTTCCATCACTTGGGTCGATAAAATGAGTACCCAGTTTGCTTGGGGACTAAACACTGGGGTTCCTGCGATTAAGCTGACCACTTGTTCAGGGCAGATGCTTACGCACCCCGGGGCCCACGGTCAAGACAGAAGATTTCGGGCACTGCAGGCCTTGGCCCATTAAGACTGTTATCCCACTGAGTTTAATTTTGAGAATTGCATTATTTAAATTCCTTTTTCTATAAGTTACAGTTCAGTTTTAATCAAAGAAAAGGAGAATCATTGTTTTCTAATTTATTTAAACAAATATAAATTTGACAAATATTTATAAATTTTTTTCCGAACCATTTTGAGTTTTAATTAATACAAACATGAATACCATCTTATAAGGAGGTATTTTATAGACACATGTCCAATGTTTGGAGATTTTTCATTCAAAACATTATATATACATATGTGTGTGTCTATAAGATAAAAAATATGTAAATCAAAATTATAATTTAAACTAGCGATAACCCCTTAATTCTCCCCTCTCTATTCCAAAAATAGTAAAGCTTTTTTTTCTGGACTGTGTCATTTCTAGATAAATCCATATCATATGGCTTGCGTAACGCTAATAATGTAGCAAATTCGGAACCTGAACTCAAAATTTTCAGAACTGAAGCCTTTCTCATGGATAACTGCGCACTTTTGCTTTTAGATCTCTTGCCGTTAAGACGATGAAATGCCATATTTATCCCTCTAAGTCATTAACTGTTTCTACAATATTCATTACTTCTAAGACTGATTTTTGTTACATATGTGTGTGTGAGTAATATGTACAGAATAGTAGCCAAATCGAAATTTCTTTAATTTTCGATAGTAGTAAGAAGGACCATGAGCCTTTTGTGAAAATTAATGTAATTTCGTCATTCTTAATCTAACATCAATAATATACTCTTCAGTTTTCTAATCATCCATTATCCTTGTAAGGTATTTCTCCCGCCTTCTTAGCATGCCTTCGTGGTGTAGTGCTCACCACGCTCGACGAGTATTCGAGAGGTCCGTGGTTCGAGTCCCGGCGAGGGCACTGCTTATTTTTCACTGTCCTGTTTTCAAAAAATACCTAATGTCTCTAAATCCTATTAACATATGACTGATGTCTTGCTTTACTGGTTATTGTAATGATATAAATACATGAGACTTACGTTCACAATTATCGAATATTAGGCGTACCTCTTGTGCATGAAAAATATGATCTTTAATGATAGATTCAAAATTACATCGCAATGCAGAATTGTGAATCTGTGCATAACCCTTTCATCTAGTAAGATATGAATGTGTATGAGTTCAGCTTCCATAGGAACATTCAGTGTACAAAGGCTAAAAAATTTATTATCGCCATATCATCGCCTGTCCGAGTAGTGGATTTAGACAGTGCTTCAAAAATACGGGATATCAGCGATTCAGTATTTAATTGCTATAACATTTATAGTAGAGGTGAACAATCTTTTACAGTTCATACGGCATTTTTTTCATTTTTTTTGTTAAGACGCTCCATACAACATTTTCATTCCTTGTAAAATATAATAATACTTTTAATATTTACATATACACAAAATGTTTATTATACATATAAACGCATTTACTAGTTTTAAATAAAAGGATTTTAAATACAGACTAGATAAACATTACTTGCTTTAATGAGATTTTTTAAACTGGTAAGCTTGTAATTTTTATAATTCATTCAAAAGGCTCAAACAGTTTTCAAATTGGTATCAGTCAATTGCGACAGTATATTGTTATTATAAAAAGGACTTCCATGGATGAAAATACTTTCTTACATCTGTAATGATTTATGTCGTTACGAAACGACAGCTATGAGTGTAGGCTAATTTCTCAGTTTAGAAAAAGCATTATAGAGCAATGATTCCCAGAAATTGGTTTTGTCAGAAGCATCTGAGTGTGATGAAGTTCGTTCATTAAATTTCATTTTAAATAACGAACTGATTTTGAGATCTATTGCTAGGAATACTTAAGCTATTTTATAAGGTGTAAAAAAATTTTTAATTGCAAGTATGCAGTCTTCTTCAGCAAAAGTGGCAAAAAGATTGCTAGAAACTTCTTGCAGTAATGTGAATTTCTTAGATTGCAAAGTTGATATTATCTTGAGCCAGATTCAATACCTTCTTTTAAATGTGGAAATTGACTTAAATCTCCGTTTTTTTAATTGAGAGAGGAAAGGTCTAATTTATTTAATGCACTCATGCCATTCACTAAGATAGAAAATAATTTGTTCTTGGCCATCACTTTCAAATTTAGGGCATTTACGTAACTGATAACAATCTAAAAATGCGAAATTAAGCATCCATTTAGAAACACATAATAGGGTTTTTCTTTGCGTAATTCTCACTTCTCTTCCAGAAAGTTGCGAACATTTTGTTTCACTTTTTCAAAAGGTACTGGTAAACTGTTATCTAGATAACCAGGGCTCCTCACAATGAAGGATCAAGATATTCCATTTCTAACATTTCACAATCTTCACTTTTATTTCTTTAATGTTGTTTTAACACGTTACAACGGGTATCACAACATGATTCAAACTTAGGTTTTTCACTCACACTCTTTACATCTAACACAATGATACGTTAATAGATAATGACGTAACATTTTTTAAAAATAAAGTTATAGTTTAAGAAGCTCTGTCTGACATATTAGGAGTACCTCTTGTGCAATATTAGGACAAACTGCATAATAGTAAAAACACTTATGAGCTGCCTGAAACACTTATGAGCTGCCTGAAATCTAGTCGCTGACGTTACTTTTATTTTGTAAAATATGTTTAACAGTCTAGTTTTTCCATGAAGGCATTCAATATCTGTAAGCTCTTTAAAGATCTTATAATTGCCATTAAACCTTCTGCAATGAGCTAAAGCACATATGTCAGCAGATTCGTCGAATGGTAAATAAAGGAAAGAGAAACAAGCATGAACATTGCCTTTATGTTGCTCAAAAAAGCAACGCCATGGGAAAGTTTTTGATGAGCATTATAACTGTTTTCTTGAACAGAAAAATTAAGTTACCTTTTTTTCAACATTCTTATTATCAAGTCATTCTGAAAATTTTTCAAGAAAGGGTTTCCTTTTCTTTAGAGAAAGGCTTGCGCTTTTGAGTTAGCCAACACAAAAACAATTTCCTTAGACACTTCCAGCTTTGGCACACTTTCAAAACTTCGTTTCACAAATGCATTTTGTGTCTCTTTTCTTTTTCTTCGTGGTAATCAGATATTCTTTCCGTAATTCGGACTCAGGAGTTAACTTCAGTTTTCCTTCTAATTCAATCTGGTGTTTTCTCTGTAGCATCTGTTACTATCATATATTCTATTATCCAACAGAATGCTTTCGGAAATAATGCCCAATAATTATTTGAAGGACTCGCAATAAATAAAATCCCATTTTTGCACAGTTCGTTGACCTGACTTATAATAATAGCTCCTTTTATTTTCTTGTACTAATTTCTTCTAGGTAATGATAATAATGGGTAATGGTAATAATAAAGTTTAATGATTATTAAGTCGTGGATAACTGACAATAAAATAGTAAACAAATAAATGCAAATAAAAAATAAATAAAAATAATAATTAAACATTTTACTTAAATTATTTTCTTTTTATACACAAAATTATAAGAGTATGCTTCCATGAAGGCCTGATATCGTTCTGTAAGTTTAAAAATCTTATTTATATACGTTTGTTCCCACAAGTTTCGTCTCTCTCGTAATATATTATCTTTTACGAAATACGAGATCGCTTCCTTCTGTAGAGCAAGCAGTCAATCAGCCGGCACTCACACATGCAAAAACAGCCCAAAAATTAATGAAAGCTTTGCTCATAATCAGTTAAATTTTAAGAACACGCCTACTCAATGTAAATAAAAGAAAATAGTTTGTAGAAAAACACCAAAATATACCTATATGTGCAAATGCACCAATAACTGTTGGTTTCAATAATTGAGAAACTAGACAACCAGGTAAGAAATTCACTTACGCGTTCAAAATGAAAACATATATTTTTAAGCTTACAAAACTTTATTGTCTTCATGAAAACAAAACTTTTATCTTTATGAACTGATTATTAAAACACATAACTGGTCATACGCATCAAACGAGATGTGCATCGAACGTTATGACATGGGACAAAAAGAGTTGTTTGCAAAGTGATTAAATAACAGTGTGTACTGAAAAAAAGACGCCAAAACATATTTGATTTCCTATTCTGTTTGTCTATGTATGAGAAAAGTGCATTTTTCTCAGTATTAATAATTTTAGGAAGTCAGTACGACGACGTGGTTGGCTGCCATTCTGGCCTTGAGAAT